TATCAATGTATATCCCATATGCAATTCTAATAAAATTCCTTCAGCAATGTAAGCCACCTTAATAACAAAAAAAAAAATATAAGCTATCTTAATAATAAAAAAAAATTAAATTTTAATTTAGAACAGGTTAGAGAAGATCTAAGATATTAATCATAATATTATAAATTTGAAGTTAATAGAGAAGAGCTTTATAAGAACTATTTTTTGATTTCAAGTTTAGAGTTATTTGTTTGATTTAATATAATATTAGTATTTAACATTAAAAGAGTTGTTGAATAAGAAAATTTAGTATATTTAGTTTTAGAGTAATATTTTAAGCTAATTTCTATTGATATTAATATTAATTTTATAGAAACTATATATCTTGATAAAACCAGTTTAGAGGATTATTTGAGAAATTGATTAAAAGTAGTTCTGTTTGTTTTTGAACTAAAGCTTTGATATTAGTAATTATTATAAGTATAAAAGTTCCAGAAATTGCAAAAAAAATATGATTATATTGAGAATTTAAAGAATTTAAAGTATAGTGTAAGAGAATATTTAAAAGAGAAAGAGCAGTAATTATTATAATTTTAAGTAAAATTAGTAAGTTATTAATAATATTAATAAGAGATTAGTAAATATTAGAGTTATTTTTTTTGCAGAAAAGAATATATATAATATTTTCAGTATTTAAATATTGTATGCAATTTGATGTAGTATATAGATAAAGGTAGTAAATATTAAAATTTTATATAGTAAATAAGTTATTTGTTAAAATTTTAATATAAAAGGAGTATTTTTAAGAATTGTTTTTAAGAAATTTAAAATTTTAAGCATTAGAACCTATTTGATATTAATAATACTATCAAAGAATTTAAGTATAAACCAAGTTGAAAGTTCTTATATTATAATAGTATTTTTAATAAAAGTTTGAATTTTTATTAGTATAAGATAGTTATTTTAGTTAAAGTATATAGGATAGTTAAAAGAAGAGATAAGAATTTGATTATAAGTTTAGTAGTACTATATAAATATGTAATAATATACATGTATATTATTTTAAAATTACTATTTTTTAAAAAATATATATTAGATTTAAAATAACATGTATGCATATTCTGAAATAATATGCCTCTCTATATATACCAATATAAATATATCTATAAATCTATTATCTTTAGTTAGCATAATCATCTAAACAGATTCTTTCAGATAGAACTTGTTCAGAGACTAAATTATATGAGGATTTAGTTCTATATAAAATACTAACTTTAACTCTATATTAGGAACTTTGATCAAATTTCTTATAAGTTTGTATTGATTTATCATTGATAGGATTAGAAACAGTAGTACTTTCTTTTTGTTGAAATTTAAGATACTCATTAAATATTTGTTAAATTCTATAAGAGGCTATTTGTTTCAAATTAGTCTTATCAGATTGACTAACTAATATTGTGTTAATATAAGTGAGAGTAGTTTCTGAAAGAATTCTAAGAATAGTTAGTATCTATATACTTAAACTATATTAGTAGATATTAATAGAGGTAAGGCTTAACTTGGTTAAAGTTTAGGGTTAGTTTTACTTATGAGCTCTGATAAGGTTCTTCTTGTGGTCTTGTTCAGGATCTTGTTTTAGATTTTATGATCTCTATTAATACTTTTGTTCTTATTTTTCTAATTAGTCTTTCAGAATCACATTTTGAGTTGTTATACAAAAATTTGAGTTTAGAATAATGATTTATTGATCGATATTTTATCAGAAAGTTAATCAATGAATTTCCTATATAAGAATTATTTATTTATCATTATGAATTTTTATACTTTCTAGTTAAGTAATTTAGCAATCATGAGAACAAAAAAAGTGATGATTTTAATGAGAACAATTTTATTATGATATATGATAAAATAAAAGTACTTTCTTAGATAACTTGTATATAATTATATTTATTTCAAGAAATAAGATGAGCTAAAAATTATTTATTTAGGTATAAAATATAAAAATCTTTATTTATATCAATATAATAATTAATAATTTAATAAAATGATAATAGAAATATTGTAAAACTACAAATTGGTAAAACTAAAAATAACCTAATGAAAAAACAAGAAGAGTATATATAATAATATTTTGAGCTGTAAATATTAGTAGAAATAAAAATTTTACTCATGCATATGACTCAGAATATTATTAATTTGTAATATTAATTATTTGCTTACTTATTCTTTATCATCATAAGTATCAGAATTAATTTCTTCATCAAATTCATCAAATTTATCAAATTTGTTAAACTAATTAAAAATTTTTTTGCCAATTTCTTCAAAATTATTATTGCTAATTTCTTCAAAATTATCATCATTAATTTCTTCAAAATTATTATCATCGATTTCTTCATTATTACTAACTTCTTTATTAAAGTCATCACTATTAACTTCATCATCATTACTAATTTCTTTATCATCACTAATTTCATCATTAGCTTTAGGATCTAATAAATCTGCTATTAACTCCTCTTTACTTGATCTCTCTAAAATTATATTTTCTATATGATTCTCGATGATTGTCTGAAATTAAAATTGTTAAATTACTATATTTTATAGATTTTACAATATAAGTTATAGTAAATTAATATTTTATATAATTGAAACTTTGAATATATAATAATTTATGTTCTTAAAATTTTTTTATTTAAATATTTTAATGA